AGTCACACAGAGAGAGAGAGAGGCAGAGACACAGGGGGAGGGAGAAGCAGGCTCCATGCACTGGGAGCCCGACGTGGGATTCGATCCCGGGTCTCCAGGATCGCGCCCTGGGCCAAAGGCAGGCGCTAAACCGCTGCACCACCCAGGGATCCCCAATTTTATACATTTCTATAGAAGGGTAATACTTGTAGCTTTTTGAACTTTGCAAAAAGAATGAGCAAAGTGGGGATTCCCGGGTGGCTCAGCGGTTTAGCACCGCCTTCAGCCCAGGGCCTGATCCTGGAGACCCGGGATCGAGTCCCACGTTGGGCTCCCTGCATGGAGCCTGCTTCTCCCTCTGCCTGTGTCTCTGCCTCTCTCTCTTTCTCTCTGTGTGTCTATCATGAATAAATAAATAAAATCTTAAAAAAAAAAAGAATGAGCAAAGTGTCTAAATTCACCAGATTAATCAATTTGTTAAAGATGCCCTGGTCTACAACTATTAGAAATCATTTAAATATTATTAACATGGAAATAAAAATACTAATGAAGATAGGTTAAAGGTCATTAAAATTCTTATATGAATAGTATACTTATATTCATACTTATATGAATTGTATACTTCATTACATATTCCACCTTCAAGTAGCTATTATTCTGTTTTTAATAATTTAAAATAGTCTAATCATTTAGGTATATCTCATTAAATTTCAAAATCATTTCAAAGGCATTGCAGCTGTTTATCAGTGCGGTTCCTGTTTGTAGTGAATTTTACCTTAGCTATATCCTCCTTTCTTAGTATTATTTAGATACTTAAAGTTAAGGAGAATGGAGATTCTCATGCTTTAACTGGATCCTTCTAAAAAACACAAGAAATTTGAAAATGAAACTAACTTTTTGTAGCATTCAACACTTTACTAAATATTCTTATGTAGCTATTCCATATGATCATTACACCAGTGCTGGATGTTATGCATTACAAAACACTCAACATCTCACCACTTTTTCTATGAAAGGGTAAAACTCAACTATAAGAGAAAACTGTCCTTTCTAAAAATCTCAGAAAAAGTAAGGTATAATACCAATGATCTTCAATCTGACCTTTTATAGGCAATAAGGTGACTCATAGTCACTGTATTGTTTAGTTAATGAATTAGACTTTGGTATATGTTAAGCATCTAGAATATGTTTAGCATTGTACTAACCTGAAGGTATAAAAAGTTAAAAACCAATTCCTTCCTTCAAGGTTCTTATGATCTAGTCAAGGATCATAAACAACAAAAGCAAAGAAGAAAACAAATTATTGGAAACTCAAAGTATTAGCTTGAAAGGCATGATGTCAAAACATGAAGTAAGTTTTCAGGTCACGAAGGCAATAGATAGCCTAAGGAGAACTCCACCAACCTGAGGAAAGTTTCTCAATACAGTCATGGGGTTACTATTTGACAAAACACAATTCTTTTTTTTTTAATTTTTCCTTTGCAGACATTATTAAAGCCACCAATAATTCCTATAAGGTACAGTATGACCTATGTAAATAGAAACCATTATAAAAATGATATAAAAATAAAAGGATCTTGGTCAAGGTTTCCTGGATTAGTGGAGTATTTTTTAGCCCATTTTGTGGGAGGAAGAAATGTGATTAACAAGCTTTGCCCATGGTCAATCATTATTATTGCTATTACTATTTATTTCACAAATGTGGATATTTCTTTTTTCTTTCAAGGAAGATGTTACTGAGTGTTGAAATACTATTTTACTGGAGTAATCTGTATAGTTCCAGGTATTTATGGAAAGAGTAAACTTTCAAAATAGAGCCATGGTTACTCTTATTCATTAAATAAATCATTTGTTAATGGGCAAGAATGCTTCCCAAAGAACATGTCAATACACCATTATACTTCCCAGACAGAACAGTAAAGTTCACATTGGTTTTTCTCAAAATAACAAAGCTGTAACGAGCAATCTGAAGACAAATAAATATTTATTAAACCAGCACCAACTGAAATGTTTTTCTCTTGAGACTGAAAGTTCATATTCCAAATACTTAATAAAAATGGGGATGACTTAATCCAGTAACTCTGTACAAACAGTATACAAACACCACTAGTCCACAGAGATCCTTGCCAATTCCAGAAGACGTCTTCAGAAACATTTTCAGGGTCTGTGATAAACCTCTTTATGGTTAACAAATGCCCAGGTAATGGAACGAGAACACAGTGTGAAGAATAAAAATGAGGTACCCTGAAACTTCCTGCCTTAGTTTAACCCCAACCCCAAACAGTGTATTTCCTACTTTTAGAAACTAAATGATGTGAGAGTAATTTAGCTCCATGACTCAAGTCCAAACCTATGGTTGATCTGTTAGCCTGTCATTGGAAATGGTACATGTGCTTCCTCTGACTTTCCTACCCACAGAAAATAATTCCCACTCCCACCCTTACCAGTCCTACACAGACGCAGAGATTAAAAATTCAATTTATCGTTGTGCATTTTTCCATGCAAAAATATAAAGCAAACTCATTAAGATTTACCTCTAAAGGCAATTCTGTAAGAAGGCAAAATAAAATCCACATAATTATTTCTCTACCTTTTACCCTTAGTTTCTGCCGGCATTGATTATGGTTTCCTGATAATTCCAAAACATCTTGTACTGCCATATACTTTTCCTTGATCTCCTCCTCTCAGAAAGTCAGTGGGAAGGTAAAAGGAATCACATCATTACTTCTTCTAAATGGATGGGCAATAGACTTTGACAAATGTGAACCAGTGGTGTCAAAACATGAAGTTTTCAGGTCACGAAGGCAATAGATAGGCTAAGGAGAACTCCACCAACCTCAGGAAATTTTTTCAATACAGCCATTGGGTTACTATTTGACAAAATATTTTTTTTAATTTTTCCTTAACAGACATTATTAAAGCCAGTAATAATCCCTATAAAATACAGTATGACGTGTGTAAATATAGACTATTAATATCACATGTATATGATTCTGGGCCTAGAGACTTGATGTGGCCGGTACCAATCCTCAATCATGGATTCCATTTTAAAGTCTTGGATGCTCTTCTCTGGTAAAATTATAATGTACAGATGCAATATCAAAGTGATCTCAGAAAGGTCCTCCCTGTAAGTGGGCTCACAAAAATCCTCCTGAAGTCCCTGAACAGGGAACCACAGTGAGGTAAGACAGTTCCAGCCTCTGCTCTGCCCCTTACCAGTTTATATTTAGGCATATCAATTAACACCTTTATATCTCACTATTCTTTTTTGTTTTTTAAAGATTTTATTTATTCTTGAGTGACAGATAGGCAGAGACACAGGCAGAGGGAGAAGCAGGCTCCTCGCAGGGAACCCGATGTGGGACTCGATCCCTTGACCCGGGGGGTCACACCCTGAGCTGAAGTCAGACAGTCAACTGCTGAGCCTCCCAGGCGTCCCTCATTATTATTTCTACAATGAGAATAACTGCTTTACCTATTTCCCTAACCATCAATTCAATTTATTACAGATTTTATTTATTTATTCATTAGAGACACAGAGAGGCAGAGACACAGGCAGAGGGCCCCATGCGGGACTCGATCCGAGAAACCTGGAATCATAACCTGAGCCAAAGGCAGATGCTCAACCTCTTTGCCACCCAGGTGCCCCACCGGCCGTTCCATTTTTCAGCATGATGATTTGTCAGGACTGCAAATGCCAAAGTGGGACACCACCCACTCCTAACTCTCTGCGTCTCTGAGTTATTCATCTAAAACAATAAGGAGAATAATGACATGTTGCGGAGTACTACTTGAATCCTAACGGTGACCGTGCACAAAGCACCTAGTACAGCGTTGCACACACGCCCCTTCCCTGCCACCGATCTTCCATCTCGTAAATGGGCCGCCCGCAGGTTAGACGCCTGCAGTGCCTCGGTGCCCAGTCGCTGTCGCCGCTACCCGGGGCCCTGTTCTCTCCACCACCCCCTGCCCGCGTTTCCCGGACCTTCTCTTCGCCGGGCCGCGGCTTTCTCTAGCTTCCCCGCCACCCGGCAGGGCGCACCCCACAGACCCCGCGCAGCCCCCCGCCCCCCCCCCACGCAGCCCCGGCTCAGCCCCGCGCAGCCCCGGTTCAGCCCCGGCTCAGCCCCGCGCAGCTCCCCTCCCCCGCGCCCCGCGCAGCCCCGGCTCAGCCCCGGCTCAGCCCCGCGCAGCCCCCCCACCCCTGCGCCCCGCGCAGCCCCGGCTCAGCCCCGCGCAGCCCCGACGTGCAGCCTGGGGCAGGGCGAGCCGGGGCGTCAGGCGTTGGGGACCGGCTCCGGCCCCGCCCCCCTCCACGCGCGGATCCCGGCCCTGAGCGCGCGCCTGGGCCACACGGCAGCCGCCCGGGCCCCGGAGGGGGTCTCGCCCCCGCCCCCGTCGCCGCCCCCACCCCCCTGGGGGAGCCGCGGCGACACTCGGGGCTGCAGGGGCCCGGGCCTCCGACCGCGGTGGGGGGGGCGCCATACTCGGGGGTAGAAGGCGAGAGGGTGGCCGGCCGGGGTCGGGCCGCTCCGAACCCCCGGCTTCCAGCTCGGGGCCGCAGCGCGCGTGTCCTCCGCTCAGGGCCCTGCGCGCCGGCCGGGAGCCGCGGAAGCCGAGTCCCCGGGCCAGTGCAGCCCGGCGGGGAGCGGCCGGCCGCCCGTGGGGGGGCGGTGCCCGGCGGGGCAAGTCCCGGCCTCTCCCGCGCAGCACGAGCCGCCGTCGGGGCCCGCGGACAACCCCCCCCCCGCGACCCCCGGGCCCGCAGGACGCGCTCGCAGCGGGCCGAGCCCCCCCCCCCCCACCGGCCGCAGTCCGCGGGTCCTCGCCCCGGGTCCCCGCCGCCGGGCCGGCCGTGAACCTGCCGCCGCGGGGGAGCGAGGAGCCCGGGGAAGCTGCCGGGAGACTCAAGAGGAAAACTTTGCTGAGTCGTGGCCGCGGGAGGCTCCGGCGGAGGAGGCGCGGGCGGCGGCGGCGGCGGCGGGGAGGGGAGGAGGAGGGGGGAGATGGGGAGTGGGGAGATGGGGAGGGGAGCAGGTGGGCAGGCGGGCTGCGGGCCGGGCTGCGGGGATGGGGGACGTGGGCAGGTGGGCTGCCGGCCCCAGCGCGGGGTGCCCAGGCCGTCCGCGCTCCGGGGCGCGCCCTCCGCGTCGGCGCCCGCCCGCCTGCCCGCCTGCCCCCCTGCCCGCCCGCCGCGCGCTGGGCTCGTCCGCCCCGGGCCGCCCTCCTCCGCGGGGCTCGCGGCTGCCCCAGCCCCAGTCGCCCCGCTGGACTCGGCGGTCCCGGCGCCCGCCCTCCGGGGGCAGGTGGCCAGAGGCAGCCTTACCTGCCGCGGGCTCTTCTCCGCCCGCCGGGGCCGGCCGTCCGCTCGCGAAGCCGGGCAGGGGCGCGGGGCTGCGGGCGCGGAGCGCGGGGCGCGGGGCTGCTGCTGCTCGGGCCGGGCGGGAGGCAGGGGGCGCTGCGGCCCCGGAGCGGGCCGGGCCGGGCGCGGAGCCAGGCGGCAGCCGGAGCTCCGCGGAGGCGAGCGCGGCGGGGAAAGGCACGCTCCGGGCCGGAGGGCGGCTTTTAAGTTCGTGGTGCGACCGCAGCAGCTGGGGCGCCGGGCGCTCTCGCGGGCGCGCAGGACCCGGGGCTGCCCCCGCCGCGCGCCTCCTCCCCGCCCCCGCCCCCGGCCCCGGCCCGCCCGCGCAGCCGCTCAGCGGGCTCCGGCCGCGGGCCGCGCAGGTTGTCCGTCGGCGGCGTCGCGCGCTCCGAGTGCGGCCGCCGGGCTCGGGCTCGGGCTCGGGCCCTTCGCGAGCGCGGGGAGGACGCCCCGCGGGAGCCGCCGGCCGAGCGCCGCGCGGAGGTCGGGCCTCGAGACCCGGGCCGGGGCCTTGCCGGAGCAGGCGTCGGGGGCAGCGGGGGGACCAGCCTCCCCGGGGGCTGGCGGACGCGGGGGGAGGTACGGGGAAAACGGAAAACGACAAAACACCCCCAGATGGAAGTCTCCTTGCCGCTTTACCTGACATTGGCCATCTCTCCCCGCTTCCCCTCACAGACTCGTGCACACCTGGGTCCGGCAGGAGGAAACCCAAGTGCACGGGGACCAGGGACGAGTCCACCTTCGTGGAACGTGGAACTTACACAAATTGGAGGTGCGATCCTCTTTAAGGAAAACAATGCAGAAATAGCTTAATTTCTACAGATGCCACGAAAACAACCGTGCGAATTTATCTAGGGTCAGGCTGCCCCCGGGGTCATGGAAAGGGCAAGTGATGAGTCCTGAAGCTTGGGCCGCATTAGGTGCCTGGTAGAGCCGCCTGCGATTGGAAGCCTAGGCTTGGAGTCGCACACCTTGCACTTATTAGTCCCATACAGAAAGCTGACTTGGGGGTAGAGCCATAGGAAAAAAAGCAGCCACCGGATTCTGCATTTGTCAGCTTGATTTAAGAGCACAGCTTGGAAGGTCCCAGAGCGCCTTTGGCAAATGACAAGTGGTGTTTTAGTTTGGGGGTAGGAGCAGTCAGTAACGACAATGGAAGAATTGGAAGGCGGGAGGAGACTCTTCATTCAGCATCTGCAGCGGGGATCCGAGGGCCACAGAAGCTAAATGAGTCATTGCAAGTTGCAGATGGTTAGTGGCAGAGACAGGCTCAGGAGGGATTCAAGTTTCCTAACTCTGACCAAGGTTCTTTCCTGTGTCTCATGCTGCCCCATTTCTGTAACCTTGGTTTTCACTTTCCACCAACCAACCCCATAATTTTCCTCTTTAGATACAGGAGAATTTAAGTCCCTACAGACTATTCTGACCTATAGCAAGTTTTTTTGAAAGCTTCGTATTTAGTGTTATACCACTCGTTTTGTAATTGACCGTGCCCTTGGTGTGTTCATTGCCTTTTCTTGTATGTTTTATATCATTTTATTTGTTTATGCCATTGCCCCTTGATCCAAATTGCAACCTCATTGTAAGGACAAAATACCTCTTTTGTCTCCCACAGCATAGCTTATAGGGCTTTGCACATAGTGGGCTCATGATAAGTAGTTTTTTACTTTTAAAAACTCTCTACTTATTAATTGTCTAATAATTTTGTCAGTTTATTGGCCAGAATACTGTACTTAACTAGAATTACAGTTAACTGGATTTCCCCTTTTTTCCTCCTGTCAAAATCCTGTCTTAATACACTCAAGCCAAACAGCATCTCCCTTTGCTACTATTTCCACCTTTTCCACAAAGCCCCTACAGAATTCATCATTCCTTCCTGTTTTCCCAAAGCACTTTGACTTCACTACTATTATAAGCCCTTTTCATGTTATGCCATAATTAGTTATGCGTGGGTCCTCATCTGGGCTTGCGTGTTGTCTTCCTTTCACAAGCCCCTAAAACAATGCCTCTGAATTTGTGTTAACTGGCTTAGTTTGGAATACAGTGACTTAAAATTTAGGCTACATTTACTAGGGCATCGGGAATGTGCCATGAGAAGACAACATCTGGAAACTGGATTCTTTTCATTGCTCTGAGCGCACAGGGCGCAGCAGCACAATCAACTGTGCAAAGTTGTGACGCACGGCCTCAGCTGTGTCCACGGCTTTGTAATCATCAGGGTAGTTCTCCAAAGTGTCTTGCATATGGTAGGTAGGTGTTCAACCAATATTTTGGTGGTTAAATTAGGTACTGAAAACAGTGGGTCGTTGATGATAACCAGTTACTGCATCTACTACTGAACTTTCACTAAGATACAGGATCGCATCAGAATGGTTCTACAACACTTTCTAAGAGTCTGAGACTCACTGCCATGGAAAGCAGTTTGTAATCTGTCCTGTTGGACTAATAATAACCTATCTAAATCCTTGCAATAACGCCTAGTGGGAAAAATCTTCTTTACATTAGGTTTTGTTAAAATGTAAGGTGTATCATACAGTTTAGCATATCTCCAGTGTGACTATTCAAGATTCAACAAGTGATCCTTAATTATACTGAACGAGATGTGTATATCATCAGTTAGAACCACCGAATTGCTGTTCTCTGCCTGTTTCATTCTGAGGGTGGAAGGAACAGACAGGAAAGAGGAACTACTTTCCAGTTTCCAGGTGCTTAGACACATTTTTGAATAAGTACATTTGTTTTGAGGGCCCAGCCTCTTACTCTGTGCTATACTACATCTCACCCATCTCCATTTATGGAAGCTGAGTAAGTCATTATTACTGTACGGTAGCAGATATGTGTTAGATTATGTGAAATAACACTATTTCTCATAGGATTCTATGTTAGTAGTTCATGAAGCCACTTTCAGGACAAAGTTCTAATTGTACAGTTTCAAGAATCATCAATCTATATTGGGAACCATAAGGGAAGGCAGCAGGAATGGCTAAGAGTAGAATAGGTATATTCTAGGCTTCTCCAACTCCACATATAGCTACCTTTGCCAAGAAGACAGGAGAAAGATAATTACTGGGTCCAGGATTTAAATGTAGCAGGATCTCAGAGGATTTGGCTGCACTTTCAGCAGAAGGTAGTAGCTTGCTGTTCTGTTCCAACAAAAATCTACAGTCTTAGTTCTCTCTGTACTGTCATGTATTCACAAAAAAAGAAAGAATTTTAAGGAAAAAAAAGGATCGATAAAAAAACCTGTGAAGTTCTATGTACAGAGTTAAGGAAAATGGAGATAAAACTCAAGCATTTAGTGATCACATCTATAAAACGTGTCATACCTTGGTCATAGATTAAACCTCTCTGCCTTATGATAAATATATACTACTTTATGTTTTCCCACGTACTAACATATCAGTACTGACAGATAAACGTTGTTATGCTCATTAGAGAAAACTGGAATGTATATTAGTTTGTGTCTAATTGGAACAAGTGATGGCATGAGTTCAAAGTAGCTCACCCACCTCCTACTCTCCTATCAGGTGTTTTCCCCTTATAAACTTCAGATTTTTTTTCCGTTTGTTTCATTTGATCATGGCAATCCACTCATCACTGGATCATTAGGTAGTTACATATTAAGATCATTAGATCATACGTAGTGATGGAAAAGAACACACTTTTCATCTTTATTTCAGTATTAATTACACATATATAGAACTCTCAGAAGTAAATGTATCTCTGTTTTTCATCTTTAAGACAGAAGATAGTTTACAGTTAGTTAATCAGAATGTAAAACTATCAGAACTTTGCTTAACGTCTTTGAGTTTTAAACTCTTTTAACATCACAAATAATCATAAACATTCAGAGTTAGGAGAGGTCTCAGAGACCTACCCCTCATGTTATACACAGGAGAACCAAGGCCAAAAGGTGGAGTAATCATCCAGCGCCTTCTAACTCCTGCTCTATGCCCTGTGCGATACAGCACCCTGCTGTAGAGACTTTACTTGAAGAGGAAGATGAAGAAGAAGAAGAAGAAAAAAATCAGCTATTTTGCAAAACCCTTCCAAGCCAGAATCTTAAGGTTATATTTACTTAGCTGGTTTGGGGTGTGGTGAATAATTAAATTCAGCAGGAATGCACTTCAAAATAAAAATAAAAACACAACCCAACCCCTTTGGCCCAAGTCCTGAGACCTCAGAAAAGAAAACCTCCTTGACTAGGAACATTTGCTGGAGGTTAGAAAGCCTTTCTGAGCCTGATATAGGAGTCCATATAGCCAGTGCAGGATGGAGGAGTTTATAGTCAAATAACTGACTCTTTGTTTTTTTCTTTTTTAACAGTGTTCTTAGATCAACAAACAATCCCCAAGGAAGGATTTTAAGGAAAAATAAACACCTCTCTTACATATCATATAAGAAAAAAAATCGTCTTTGCGTTTGCTTTTCTTAAAGCAAAGCCACCGCCACCCAAGCCACCACCACTCCACCCTCAGAGCATACCTTAGAAATAATGTATTTCTTCTAAGAAAATGGGGGAGGAGAGGGACTCCTGTGATACCTAATCAAGGCAAGCCTTATTTATACAAGAGTGATGAAACCAAGAAAAATATGCCCTCTTGTGGCTTATTTGTTCTAGTTCACAACTAATCAACAGTACTCTATTATTTCCTGAAACTCAAACATACCTATATTCCAAGTGGAATTAAACTATTCCTTTGTGCAGTAACTGGAGAGGACAGGTCCATGCAGACGGCATGAAGGCATTCCAAGACTTCTGCTTTGTCCAAGGTCATATGCAGCTACTTAGCCACAAGGAAATCAGTATCCCTAAAAATGGGGGAACATTTTCCAAAATAACCCACAGATTCTTTCAGATCTTATAAAAATACCTTTCAAATAAATGCATTGATAGAATTTCTTTCCTAAATAGTGAAGTTTGTTTTGGACAGACAAACTATCAGTTTCCACAAATAGGAGAAAATTCATAATTTCCTGCCCTACTGTATTTGTGCCTCTAATATTTCTTTCACTGTAGGATGATGCTTATTTTTTCACTGAGAAAAGTAAAATATGAAGCAGTTAAGAGCATGCTGATTTTAATTCTGTGCATCCTTCTTTCTCTTCTTTCCACTTACTTTACTCAGAAATGAGGCATAACAAATGTCTTATATCCAATGATTTACAGATACAATTAATTTCATTTTATGACAAAAAAAATGTCCACCATGTTTTTCTGAAACCATTAAGTGGTGATGAGTTCAGGGGAAAGTGACTTCTGGTGAGCAAGAGAAAGACTTTCACATAACTGTAATTTAAATAATATAGTAACTAAGTGAGCATCAAAGGCTTAAAACAGGCCAGGTTGTTAAATCCTTAGTCTAATGCTACTGTAATAATAATCATGATTAACATTATCATTTTACATACAGAGAAACCTTAAGTGACTTAAATAACACATTTTTCATTTGCCTGGATCTGCTTGTGTATGAAGGGGGCCAGTGAGCCATTTCCTTACCTCAGCACCTTGCTGAAGAAATAAACCACATTGATCCTTACTTAACAGAAAGAAAAATGTGACTTTCCAAACTGCCTAATTTAAAAAATGGAAGTGTTCTTTTTCTAAGTGACAGGCTAAAATGGATTCCTTTAAATTCATGATCATTCTGACCCTTGAAGCACAGACATACTTTCATTTGCATTACCATTTGAAAACAATCATAAAACAATTCAAGATTTTAAATTCTATTCTATTCTATTCTATTCTAAATTTAATGAAGAAAAGTGAATCACTATAATACTACTAACAAATTGCATTCTCTTTCTACTCCATACCTCAGTAAGATTATCTTTCTTTATGTATAAAAAATTTTACTTTCCCAATTTTATTCATGTATTTGCCAATAATGTCTACATTAAAAGTCTATGACTATACGTACATTTTAAAAATTATCTCTAATTTTATTATACTTAAAACTTCAAAGAATAGAGCCCATTTTAAAAGACAAAAACATGGTCATTTATTTTTTTATTTTTTTTTTTAAATTTTTATTTATTTATGATAGAGAGAGAGAGAGAGAGAGAGAGAGAGGCAGAGACACAGGCAGAGGGAGAAGCAGGCTCCATGCACCGGGAGCCCGACGTGGGATTCGATCCCGGGTCTCCAGGATCGCGCCCTGGGCCAAAGGCAGGCGCCAAACCGCTGCGCCACCCAGGGATCCCAAAACATGGTCATTTAAAAAATGTATTAAGGGGATCCCTGGGTGACTCAGTGGTTTAGCACCCGCCTTTGGCCCAGTGCGTGATCCGGGGGTTCCGGGATCGAGTCCCGCATGGGGCTCCTTGCAGGGAGCCTGCTTCTCCCTCTGCCTGTGTCTCTGCCCCTCTCTCTCTCTCTCTCTGTGTCTATCATGAATAAATAAATAATTTTTAAAAATAAAAATAAAAAATAAAAAATGTATCAAGAAATTAACATTTCACTAATAAGAATAAAAGAGAAGCTGTCCATAATGATGAAAGCCAATATTATAAGTATATTATGGATGGCATATCCAATGTCAAAAATGATGACCTGTCAATATTAGCTATTAAAACATTATAAATTTGTGGTATTAAAACAGCAAGGTACTGGCTAGTGAATGGATAACCAAGCAAAGCAATTAAAAGTCCAGAACACATATATACATATATATATTTATATTTATATATATAAACATATATATATATATTATAATTCACACATGTAACGGGTATTTTTTTTTCTTGCTCCAAACTTGAATGGACAAGAAATGCCTTCCTTTCTAAAAATTACTTTTGTTATGTAGCATTTCCAAAACAAAAAAATAGCGTGTACCCACCCACACGTGCCCACACAAGAAAACAGAATCGACACTCAAGACTATGTCATCCCGCTTAAGAATTAGAGTATCACGAGTACCTTCAAAGTACCTCCGTGTTCCTTCATGACTCCCTTTGCCTACCACACAGAAGTAAGCAATACTCTAAATTCGATGCTTATTTTCTTGTCCTTTTCTCCCCATGTATGTATATGGCTCTAAGGAATGTCTGGCACGACGTGAAAAGCTATTGTGACAGCTGTGTATAAATAGCATCAGCTCCATAAAAACGGCAACTTTCTGTGATTTTCTTTACTCAACACTAAGGTCTTTCTCCCATAGTGTGTTTGCTGTTGTTTTGTTCTTTATGGCTTGTCACGGTGCCGCCGTGTGAGCCTGCCCCGTGTCACCCACTCGCGCCGGTGGCCCGGCCTGTGCTCCCGACCCCACTCGAGCTCGCCTCGCCGGGAGCCGGTCGAGAAGGCCCAGTCAGCCCAAGGAGGCGAAGCAAAGCATCTGCGTGGGGGAGGGAGGGAAGAGACGCTGCAAAGCACCGCGGAGGAGAGGAGGAGGGCGGCTGGCGCGAAGAGGGGCAGAGCGCCCTGGAGGCCGACGCCGCGGCGCGCCCGGAGCGCTGGGGGCCGCCGGCCGGGGTGACACGCGGTGCGGCCGAGCTGAGGTGCCGCGCCCCGCCCCCCGCCTCGCCCCGCCGAAGCCGCCGACCCGCCAGCCGCGCCCCGCCCCGCCTCGCCCCACCGAAGCCGCCGACCCGCCAGCCGCGCCGCCTCCCGCCTCGCCTCGCCCCGCCGAAGCCGCCGACCCGCCGACCCGCCAGCCGCCGCCCCGCCCCGCCTCGCCCCGCCGAAGCCGCCGACCCGCCCCGCCTCGCCCCCGCCTCGCCCTGCCGAAGCCGCCGACCCGCCAGCCGCGCCCCGCCCCGCCTCGCCCCGCCGAAGCCGCCGACCCGCCCCGCTTCGCCCCCGCCCCGCTGAAGCCGCCGACCCGACCCGCCCCGCCCTCGCCCCACCAAAGCCGCCGACCCGCCGACCCGCCAGCCGCGCCCCGCCCCGCCTCGCCCCACCGAAGCCGCCGACCCGCCGACCCGCCAGCCGCGCCCCGCCTCGCCTCGCCTCGCCCCACCGAAGCCGCCGACCCGCCAGCCGCGCCCCGCCTCGCCTCGCCTCGCCCCACCGAAGCCGCCGACCCGCCAGCCGCGCCCCGCCCCGCCTCGCCCCACCGAAGCCGCCGACCCGCCAGCCGCGCCGCCTCCCGCCTCGCCTCGCCCCGCCGAAGCCGCCGACCCGCCGACCCGCCAGCCGCGCCCCGCCCCGCCTCGCCCCGCCGAAGCCGCCGACCCGCCAGCCGCGCCGCAGGCACCTCCACCCTCTCCGGTCCACACCCGCAGCCCCCAGACACCAGCAGCCGCCGCCCCGTCCCCCGGCCGCCGCACGTCCGCTCTGGGGGTCTGGCCGAGGCCGTCTGTCTGGCTGCTCCAACACGTCACGTTCGGATTCCCGGCTTGGAAAGTATAGGAAAGGGCCGATGTGGCGCCCAGAGAGAAAAGGCCCCACAAGCAGCACGAACCTTGTTTCTTCCTAAAAGTAGAAAATAAACTTCGTGGTTTCCAGGTAAAGTCAGTCACTAGTTTCTTTTAACATTTTAATGACATTGATGCTAGAGTTCTGCGATTCTTTACTCTCTCTCAATTCTAGTATTTAAATCCCGAAGGGACCTAACTAAACCCAGCAAGCAGCCGAGAAGCGCCTAGTTTGCCTGCGCGACCCCAGCCGAGCCGCAGCCTGCGTGGCTTAAACAGCACAAACGGGGGGATCCCTGGGTGGCGCCGCGGTTTGGCGCCTGCCTTTGGCCCAGGGCGCGATCCTGGAGACCCGGGATCGAGTCCCATGTCGGGCTCCCGGTGCATGGAGCCTGCTTCTCCCTCTGCCTGTGTCTCTGCCTCCCTCTCTCTCTCTCTCTCTGTGTGACTATCATAAAAAAAAAAAAAAAACAAAAACAAAAACAAAAAAAAACAGCACAAACGTATTTTCTTGCAGGTCTGGAGGCCAGAAGCCTGGGGCCCGCGCCTAGCAGGGCTGCATTCGGTGAAGGCCTCTCCCTGTCCCCTTGGCCTGTAGCCCCCAGGAGCCCCCTCCTGGAATTCGGCCTTTTTTCTTCCATGTCTGTTGAATACCCGTCACCTAATCCTAAATTCTTCTCAGGTTCTTTGTTCGAAACACTGGGCTCCTCTGAGATCATCAGTCCCCTTCGAGATGCACGCCGCGTTCTCCCTTGATACTCCGGCATCTGTGAAAAGTGGGGATTTGGGGGCAATGGTTCCTCTCTTGGGTCCTCCTGAGGCCAAACATGTTAGTCTCTTGTCCTACTTCTGGACTCCACACCATTGCATTATGGGACGCAACTGTGAGGCTGCTAGCTCCGGAGGCCCAGAAGCACGGTACTGATCCCCTTTACTACCATTTTAACCAAATATACAGAATATTCTGTTATGCCTACACGTTGTCAAACACCAGCAAGCTGGAAGAGACCCATATTGTTTTGCTAAGAGACCTAATTATTTTGCTGCTTCAGCTCAATGATAACTTTTCATAACTGTCAAAACTTCATACAATCCCTGAGTAAGGATAATCTGTGTGTGTTTTTTTTAATCAATTTTTTTTCTTAACTCTTGGTGATGGCATATACTTTACTACTCAGGATTTACAAAGTTGAAAACCAACAGAGGTTTTTTTTTTTGTGTGTGTGTAAATGCAAAGCCTTGCTTTTTGAGATCGTGCTAGGAGTTTCAAGAAATATATTTGGAGGTCTTAAAGCTGAGAGTGGACTCTTTTTTTTCCCCCTTGAATTCTTTTGGGCGTTTCATTAATGACCCCATAAGGACATAGAATACTAGTGACTCAATGCATGATGGGTTCTGAAGTAACCAGGAACTGCTGAAATAAAAATATTTACACCCCAAAGTTGTTATCTCTAAAATATATTCTATATATAACCAAAGATGGTCTTTCAAATTAGTGAAACAAAGATGAACAATCAAGAATTATTAGAATGTAATAATTAAATATTGAGATAACAGCATTTTTTACAACACTCTCTCAAATAGAACACATTCATTAATGGCTTGAGTGTAAAAATGAACCAACAGATTCTCCAAAAATTGAAGATTCAGAATTAAAATAGAAATGAATCAAGAACCCTACTTCACCCGTATACAAAATAATTGCAGGTTAGTTTCAGGTCTCAAAGTGAAAGGTAAGATAATACATTTCTTAGAAGACAACATGAGAACCTCGTCGTACTTTGGAGTAAACATGGCTTGAACAGTAGTACACAAGCCCGCTGGTCACCACGGAACACCTTACAAACTGGACACTGTTGGGTGGAGAGTTCCTGGACATCAGGCACACCACTAATAAAGTAAAATGCCAGGCTATAGGGCCAGAGAAAACATACACAATTTATATATTTCGCAGAGTCTCGTATCCATAATATGTAAAGAACTTCTTTAAATGAATAAGAAAAAGGGTCCAAATGGTCTAAAGATTTGGGCAGACTTTTCATAAAAGAGGCTACTCAAGGGGCACCTGGTTGGCTCAGCCATTGAGGGTCTGCCTTCGGCTCAGGGTGTGACCCCAGGGTCCTGGGATCGAGTCCCACATTGGGCTCCCCACAGGGAGCCTGCTTCTCCCTCTGCTTGTGTCTCTGCCTCTCTCTCTGGTCTCTCATGAATAAATAAATAAATAAAATCTTAAAAGTAAAAAGAGTGGATATTCAAAGGGCCACTAACTTCTGCAGTAATCAAGAAAATGCCAATTAAAACCACTATGATTCCTACATACCTGCCAGAATGATTAACATGAAAAACACAAAATCTGTAGTTGCTAAGGATAAATGATTCAGAATTCTTACACACCTTGGGCAGAAGGTGTGTAAGAATTCAACTGTGAAAACCTCATATAGAAAATTTCCATGCAAGATTGGAAGGTTTGACTCTTCATGATCTTGACTCTTCCAAACCAATTAACAAGGAACATCACTGCATTTGTTCAAGTTTATTTCTGTGTCTTTCCATAGTTTTTAAGCTTTTTTTATATAGGTTTTGTACATTTCTTAATAACATTACTCCTAAGTATTTTACTTTATTTCTAATATTGTAAATGAGGTTTTTTAATCTTCTAACCAGATATTGTTTATATGTGCAAACAACTGCTTTCTAAATATTAATTTTATATTCTGCTAATTTTCTGAATTCTTTTATTATTTCTTTACTTTTATGAATTCTTTTGTGTTTTTTCACGAATACTGTCATACAATTATTATCTGATCTATGGTGTTTTGGTAAAAGTTGTTTTGTTTTGGTGAAAAGTTCTAACAACTTCTTTCTTCTATAGAAATTTAACCTTTCTATCTCTAGTAGAATAAATGTGAGTAAATTTTATTTGCCTAGAATGTTATCTTTTTCATTTAGGCTTACAAGTTTATTTGCTTAGAGTCAGAATGACAGTCACTTTTCATTTTTTTGTTTCAATGATTCTTACAAGTTGTAATTCTTATGTTTTCTTTTTTATGTTTCTTCTATTTTAAAATTCATTAATTTTTAGCAGTGTATTGATTATTTTCCTCTTGTTTTTTTGAGGTGTCTTTTTTTAAAAAGATTTATTTATTTATTTATTCATGAGAGACACACAGAGAGAGAGTAAGACACATGGGCAAAGGGAGAAGCAGGGTCCATGCAGGGAGCCCTATGTGGGACTCGATCCCAGGACCCCGGGGTCACGCCCTGAGCCAAAGCCAGATGCTCAACTGCTGAGCCACCCAGGCATCCCAAGATGTCTTTTTTTAAGCTTTTAGTTTAACACAATCATTTTCACTCTGATTTTTATTAATATAATTTTGTGAAGCTATACATTTTCTTCTGATTATCATTTAATTAGAGCCAGTAGTATCTGGCACATAGGATTGAATTATTATTTTTCGGAACTTCTATGTATCTAGTTTTTATTTCCTCTTTCTCTGGTGAACATGAGTTAATCTTTTTTTTTTTTAATACCATGAAAAAGAAATATTGTTTAGTTTTAAATTGTGTTATTTTCTAAATCTATTGTATTCCTGTAACAAAATGTGGTTTTATGCATTATAGAAATATGAAGGATTTGAAGGATGAAGTACATGGTCAATTTTCATGCCTATCTTTTATGCACTCAAGATGAAGGCACTCTTTCTATTATTCTCTATATTTCCATAATATCTCTCCTTTAGATTATGTTGCTTGATTCTTTAACTTTTTTTCCCATTCATTTGATTTCTGTCACACTGATGGGTAGTTTCCTGCCTTTAGTAATTCCCTATTTCTTTTGCATCACCTGTTGGTTCTACTTTATGAAGTTGGCTGTTCTGATGATCTGTCCATAGATAACCAAACATCTCCATTGTGTATTGTGGTGTCTAGTATTATAAACTCTCTTTGAATGTTTTTTCTCCTATTTTATTTGTTATCACGATTACAACCAATACTTTCCTATTACTTACTTTTCCTGGTACATCTTTGCCCTTCTTCTTCTTCTTCTTCTTTTTTTTTTTTTTTTTAGCCTTCTAAACAACATCATTTTAAGTTTGTCTCATGAAACAGCATATAATTGACTTCTACTTTGTGAGGCAATTTGAAAATGTTTATGTTTTAATCCATAGGTTGCGCCCATTTATTTAATGTGGCTAATTTATTCTGACAAAATTTAATCATATTATTGTGTGCTCTCTGTATAATGTTATGTCTTGTAATTTTGTTCTTTATGTTTTCTGGTTTCCTTTTATTTGCCTCTTTTTAAAAAATATTGTTTATTTTGAATGGGAGTGATTTTCATCAGCTGAAATGTTTTGATTCTCATTTTCTGCTTTCTTTTCGGAATAACTATATCTATGCTTTCTCTTCAGAATATATATGTATATGTGTATATCTGCTTTCTTTTCAGAATAT